CATGACTTTGTATTAAATGTACATGTCCATCTCACTGGAATGATGAACCCCTCTGCTTTTCCCCAAGAGATGGTGGGGGACAACTATGCTGCGGCGCTGATTTAATCATCATCATCTTCCTCTTTTTTTTTCTTTTTTTTTTTTACCACCCACTACTAATTAAAACGTGGCTACAAAAGACCCACTTCGGAAATCTCTTTGGCTTTCAAAGGACCTGTAGAATAAGGAAAACCTGATTTATTTTTGTATGCGTGCAAAACTTCAGATATTTTTTTTTTTAACAGTAGAAATGTTCAAATTGTTTTATAATTAATTTAGGGTTATTTTGAAATAACTTTGCTGAGTCAGCAATGAGAGCTTCACGGCACTGAGGGAACAAAAAAACCCCAGCAATTTCAGTCTTTTTATTGCCCAAACTGAAAGAACTACAAGTAGTAAACAGCATAAATTCTAGTTGAATGTTTGAAGTCTCCTTGGAATAAAAATTTAACAATAGCCTTAATGAGAAAATCTTTTTCTAACAAAACCAGTTGCCAAAGCTTTTCTTGTCCCGTGCTGTGTTTTTAAACCAGCTGTGAGTGTTGACAGACGACTGTTTGTCTGTTCCCTTGCTAAAAGCTGTTCATATCCTGATCTCACCTGGAAAAGGCTTCCCTCTCCCTGTATACCCTTCAACCCAAAGAGCCACAGCTCAGAATGTAACTAACTCCCTGTCTTTCCTACGGCCTTGCTCAGGGATCTCGTTGGTACCCGAGTCCGGGCTAATGCAGCTCCCCTCTAGAAACAGCTACTGCTGTTTAGTGAGACAGAGCAGCTTTGGGCAAGTTGTCTCCTGGGGCCGGGGACTCTTGCCTGGGCTGAGGGCGTTCTGTAGGGGTTTGCTGAAAGGGTGACAGAACGCCCAGCACTAGCTGCGGCAATTCTACTGGTGTTCACGGTAGTTGAGTTGACCATTAGCTCTCACTAAATGCTAAGCATCCTTTCAGGTGTATTTTGTTGCCAATTTGGAAGCGCTGACATTGTTTTGTTTGGTTTCCTAAGCAGTTTGCAGCAGCAGTTCATATGTCCTAATGAGAAAGCAAGTCCGGGGGGACTGCTGTTGGAAAGGGAGCTTTTAAGACAGGAGGTTAACTAACAACCTGTTGTTAACTAACAACCTGTTAGTTGTTGGAAAAGGATCTGGGTGAGAGGTAGCATTTAGACGATCAAAACAGACTTTGTGTAGACTTACTGCCACTTCCCAACCGATGGCAAGCGTGCTGTATTTCATTAACTTCCCCTGCATTGGAATAACACTTTCCCCAAGTCTCTAGAGAGGGGACAGATGTTGTAATGCACGCAGAGTTCAGGAAGCAGTGACTCCATGCTAGACACTCCTTCCAAGGTTCTCAGCCGAAAATACTAAGATTAACGGGAGTGGGATCATTCGTCTCAGTAGGGGTCTGCTTGGGATACCTGGGTGGGTAGGGAGTGTAAGACAGCCAGTTCTTCCCCAGGCTTCCGTTGGTGTCGCCAGCTCCCTCGTGACTTTGGCATTTTCGCTCAGGCAATTTTCATGTTTCAGTAGTCGGTTAAATCACTGGGAACAGTCTTTTGAGACACCAGGTGACAGCCAGAAGTCTGTCCGCGTGGAGAATCTCCAGCCGCAGCTAAGCATGGAGAGCAGCAAACCCAGATTCAGTCTTCACTTACCCACTTCATACGCGTTAGTGCCTTATTCAGTTAGGATCCTGTCGAAGTAAACTGGGAAAAATAATTAACCAGTAAGCTGGTTTAATAATTCTTCTATCCATCACCTCCAAAAATCCCCATCTACTAGGATGTTGATAAAATATGGTACTTGCTAATCTTTGCATGGATGAGACAGCTAAGCTCTCTGCTTATTTGATAGATATGGTCTTTCCAACTTTGATCCTACGCTTGAGGGAACACCAGACGACATGACAGTCGTAGATGCTGCTTCCTTGAGACGACAGGTATGTAAAGGGTAGTACTCGATGCTGAGAGAAAGCTGTGGGGGTCACATGGGGCAAGGGGTTTTCTGTGCGGCTGCGAAGGCACCGTTACAGACGCGGTGAGGTAGGGCGTAGTGTTCAGGGCCGGGTGGGACGGGGCCTGGAGCAACCTGGGCTAGTGGAAGGTGTCCCTGCCCATGGTGGGGGTTTGGGACTGGATGGTCTTTAAGGTCCCTTCCAACCCAAATGGTTCTGTGACTCCGTGGCCCTGGCTGTGCCCCTGCTGACTGCCCCTGCGTACCTGTTCCCGTTCCGGCAGTCTGGAGAGTCCAACTCCATTTCTGTTCGTGCGTGGTAGGGACAGCAAGATCAGATCACTAGCCACCACAGAGTGAAACTCAGATTGTTGAGCGTTTAAAATCCATCTGTCTGAGATACTATTTCTGCGTGAAGCTTCCAGAAAGTCTGGCAACCTTTAACACCGTGTTAAAAACCTCTGTTTATTTTTAGATAATCAAACTTAATCGCCGCCTGCAGCTTCTGGAAGAAGAAAACAAAGAGCGTGCTAAAAGGGAAATGATCATGTATTCCATTACTGTAGCTTTTTGGCTACTCAATAGCTGGCTTTGGTTCCGGCGCTAGACACGGCTCTCTCTCGGGAAGACCTAAGAGTTGAAAATGCAATTTGCAAAATTCTCTGTTTCTGAACTGTACGCTGGTTTATAATCCATACACTGGAAACTCCCCCCGCCGATCAGGGCTGCAGAGTCCAGGGGCCGCAGTGCTGTTCGGTGATCGTGTATCCAGTAGATGTGCATTGCAAGTACTCGCAGTACCCTCCTTTGCATGCTTCGGTGTCGGTAGGGATCGGCCGAGCGGCACTTTGCTTCGTGCAGTGGAAGGACAGTGGCCTACGGCAATAACCACTGGATGTTTTGGTGTGGTGGGAAGAGAACAAAAGGAATGGGTTTGGAAAAAGATATAAAAACGAAGGATAAAAAGTAGTTTTTATTGTTCTGTTGGTAGATGCAATTGAATGTGATTGCACTAGTTTTCCTTTAGTCCCAGTAGTTTGAGGTGTGCCATATTCAAGGAGTGCGTCCCGTCTCACGAGTGTGTTTGTTTAAGCACCTGTTCTGGTCAAATAATAAAAGGAATTCTTTCCTAACATGCAGATTGTCCAGAGGTGTGTAATATGTATTTTTTTATCTTTAATTTTGCAGATGTTTTTCTATAAAAGACATTTCTAAGCAAGTCGATCTGTGAGTGATCACAATATTATGGAGTACTAGATATTGATGCAGTATATTTAATAAAACTCCCAGAAAAAAACCCAGACCTTTGTTTATTTTAAGAGCATTTATTTGGGGTTGATCTAAATTCATAGAATCGTTTGGGTTGGAAGGGACCTTAAAGATCATCCAGTTCCAACCCCCCTGCCATGGGCAGGGACACCTTGCACTAGACCAGGTTGCTCCAAGCCTCATCCAGCCTGGCCTTGGACACTTCCAGGGATGGGGCCTCCACAGCTTCTCTGGGCAACCTGTCCCAGTGCTCCCCACCAAATCAGTCTTTGACGTAAGTAGCAGGGGTGGACTGAGCAACTCCAAAGCAGCTGCAGGCCGCCATCCCCTGGCATCACTCTCGGTGCACACGCAGGTACAGGAAGCGAACCTTGTGCCCCCACATACCGTGGTCAGTTTATCCATTCAGCCCCACAACCCACCACCTTTGGTGGGTGCTGAGGGGGTGCTGAGCCACATGCAGTGCTGCTGGGGTGAGC